TGGAAGAACATTGAGCGTGAATTTGAGCACATCTTCATTGTACAGTGCGGACAAATGGTTGAATGATTTAAAAAAGTATTTGAGCTGCTTAGCGTAAAAAGGTTTTTTTTTTTATCATCACATTCATGGAAGTTTGAATAAATGTATTTTATAATGGTAGCGTAGGAACTAACGCACCAAAAACGAGTACATCGCATGATTATTTTAACACGCACACTTGTATGAGTAGTTGTTCATTAATCCCTAGCATAACACTCAGTCGTCCAAGAGCAAATGACCATCCTGACAGCTATATATAAGAAATGTTGACGTAGTCGTTCACGTGTTTTTGCCCCTCTGTATAACGTATCTGTAAGTGTCCTGCCTGTTAAATGTTATTGCTAACAACATGAATTTCCATCTAAAACAGGGTTCATGCATAACTTCTGCGACTGCTGTCAAATGCAGGGTACTAATTGTCTAGCTGTTCCATATCGTGATACTGTGGTGTCCAAGGGTCTAGGTGTAGCGGCTTTGCACCACAAACGTTTTTCACTGTGTTAGTTTGCCTTACGTTCGAACGGTCAGCTTCTATCCCTTCAATAATCCGGAATTGCTTAAAATATGATTGTTGGTATCAGGCGGTATTTACTTGCTTAGGGCTGAGCTTAATGTTTGACGGTACATTAAACTAGCTGAATTTGACAATAGAATATGACCGAGCCAGGAAACAGTGATATGGACCGAAAGATAAGAAACACATGGTTGTATTTTTACTTTCCAGTGGCGTGTGGCTGATCAAACAGCCCTTAAAGACGTTGCATAGGGCTTCAGATAAGCGTTGTCGAAAATCTTTCAATCTACCCAACAAAGTGGGAATTTAACTTATAGTTTTCAGGAAAACCTGTACTCAGACAATGATGGGGTAAAAACAAGTATTTGAGCCGTGAGCAGCGATGGCGTACTATAAAAAAAACCGTAAAAATGTTGAGCAGGACATTGCTATTCCTTCGGGTGATGCACGGCAAAATAGGTCAGCTTATAATCGCCGGAGGAGCTCGAATAATTTATTAGAAAAGGTGACCGACGGATGCTATCATTAGGACGATGCCTTCTATTTGTTTTCAGCTTCTTCTATTTAGATGGTGAGAAAATGATGAAAACATAAATCATCGACCCGGTAGAAGAGATTAGAAAAAATTGAAAAACCATCACTTAGGGTTAAGTCGACTTCATCGAATAACAGGGAGAACTAGACGTATCAGTAGTGATCCATATAACGACCAGGCGGTCAACGAGCATATATGTTATTCGCAGAATTGGCATAGGTTGCGATTTAAAACACCTGCTAAACGATCTGTTTGTCGACAAATGACCATAAAAATTTTATTTGAGATACACAAAGTTCATTACGTGCAAAGTTACAGTGACAGCGACTGTTATTCTCTCTAAAAGTCTGAGATGTGGGTATAATGTTAGATTCAAGAGGGCGTATTTTTTTTTTTTGGTAAATTTTCCGTCGTTTCCAGCAACCCTGATCCACCGAAATCTGATCTCAGCTGTACTCTTGTGTTCTCGATTAGTTGGCAATGAATGTTTCATTGATATACATTTATGTAGTTCTCGGTGTTTACAAAGCACTTTACAGCAGCTTTGATAATAATTAACGCATAAAGCTGAGGAACGAATTTATTGTAATATAAAGCGAGAAAAGAGCGGAGCGTCACTTACTGATACAACAGTAAGGCGATAGGAACCGAATAGTAGGTCCACTCCACCTGATTTAGAATTTGGGTTAAGTAACGTTTCAAAGATAGATCGGGGGCCGAAGTGTAACTTTGAATGTACGGGTGGATATATGAATATCTGGATTTACATTGGGAACAATTCTGAGGTCGAGATAAGTCACTTCTTCATCTAGCAGCGTGAATACGGCAGGGCACAATTTGCCATAGCAGGACAGGATAAGTGGGATAGAACGATAGAATAATTGCTGGACTATTTTAGTAATCAAGCGAAATTACTGCAAGAACACGATGGTATTCACGCGACAGAAAAACCGTAAGCGGGCATGTAAGTTACGTTGGACTGAAACCACACAGTTTCTGAGAAAAAGAATAATGGATGAGTCTGAGAAACAGAATTATTCTATATAATAATAATATCTGCGACGAGAAGGGGCTATATGGTCTCAGAGGAACCGCTATCGAATAACTCGAGGTTTACAAACTATGCATGGTTTTTGTAAGCTGAATACGATTCAAATGTGTAACTGTTTGTTTAACAACCTGAAGTTTCCGAATTAAGTATTCTTCGGAATATTAGAATACTCCGATGTGATAGGTGCCAGAAAAGAAGAACTGGATTGGTGCCGCAATGACCCGTAATTGCCACATGATAGCTGTTCTTGTGCATCTGATTTATAGCCAATTTCAAAATAGATCAATCAACACCAGATAGGCGCAGGGCAAGGCCCACGGGTTTATTTTATGTTGCCTGGTTTAATATACGTTACAGGTGATACACAGTTCGAAGGCTGAAAGCTACAATGTACGAGTTCGACGCAAGCAAATGCCTACTTGGCTTTGAGAAGGCGTTGGAAGGTTTTTATACACGGTAGGTTTTGATACCTTTCGTATAGACCCCCAGTGAGGCTGAAGTTGGGCATCACCCAGTAACTGATTTTTATGGCGTGTCATCAACGGATCGTTATTTGTCTCGTCGTTGTCTCGCACCGGTCACAAATCCTCCGTTGGACCAGTGTACTGAAACGTTTGGCACGAACACCTTCGCGTTCAGGTACGTGCAAAAGGTACCAGTGAGCGTAACAATGGGAACAACGCTGAAGGGCACGTGCAGCAGTAGAAAGGGTTTCAAATCTATTGTACTCGCAATTTGCCTGCTCACTGATGCGGAGCACAGAAGCGGTTTTCTCTCTAGTCCTTCTGTAAGCTGTTTGGCTACCATGGCACATGGTATATTGATTGTCTTTACTGAAATCTCATTAAGGATGGACGCGTCTATTGTGTCAGCCGATAACGAGCAAATGTATTATATCAAATGGCGCTATTCTTACCTCTCCTCTGTTGATGATCTTCAGAAGCTTGTGCGAAGCTAGCTATTTAGCAATGGCTTAATCACTTGGCATAGCTATTTACATGGTAAGTGCTTGACGGTGGCATTAGCAAGAGACCACGTCTTGGCTTGAACGATACCAATATTTATAGAGATTTTACACTTGAACAATTTATTAGAAACGGTATAGTGATGCATTGTCGAGCCGCTCCTCTAACGGTATCAGCAACAACAAGGTGAACCTAAACAAGTCGGCACGTAAACAAACTGATGTTCTATTGACACGGTTAACTTTGAACGTCACTGTTTATTTGTACATCGGCAACACTGTAAGCTGAAATTTTCCTTTCCTTTTTATTATACTGGAGCACTAGTGTTAATTAGGTTTCCTAAAAGCATTCAGATCAGTCGTCTAATGAGCTTCTCATGCACATCATTCCTTTCGTCAGTTGTCATTGTTCGCAAAACGCTGCCTCTATGTATTTGTATGATCTCATATATATATATGTATATAAATATATACGCATTCATATCTAACTTTCCACCTATAGGATATTCGAAAACATCAACATTGCCGTATTTTCCCACATATACAGACGGAAGCGGCAGTATTTATTCTAGATTCTTTAACCATAGGGATGTTTTGCACGAGAAAATCCGAAATATAACACACTGCGCTAAATTCGATCCATAGGGTGAGCACACAATGATGGAAGGCCCCAAGCGATATTTGACCTTTTGTAAGGATACGTTGCAAAGTATTCTATTGCTGAATTGCACACTACAACCTGGTATGATATGAACCTTGTGCACGATCGAATATAGCGTCTATTATTTTTGAAGGACTCGTTTTAGAATCTCGTAAAAGCTGTTACAGAGCATTCTCTAATAATGTTTTTTCTATATTTCCAAAATATGGCATAGTCTTTAAGGTCTTCTTTGAAGAATCTCAACATTTGTGGTAGTAGTAGTTTAAAAAATGCCCGCTTTCATTACACCGATAGATTCGACGTAAGTGTGACGTTATGGCGTACAAGTTTGTAAGGTCATTTGGCCAAAGTCAATCAACACTTATTGAGTTTATCTATATATTTACAGGCGCTGATCATTTCCGTCCGGCTCAAGACTGCTGCTAGCTATATAGGATTAACGATCCTCAAGTCTCAAGCAGTAAGATAACGTTTCTTGTAAGCATTTAAATATGGCTCGCGATATGTCTAGTGTTGCTATTATTTTAGTGTGATTCTAAACGGATTTCCTATTTCGGCTTAGGCCAACGTGCTGACTCTTTTTCCCACAACGTGCGCGCCGTGGGAAAATTGTCAGACTAGTCCAGAGGTGCAGGCATCTTATCTGTCAACGTTGCGGGTTAGCATTAAGCAAATAATACATTTTAAATTAAAAAATACTTGGCATATTTCTTCTCGCCCCTTCTACTTTTTTTTGTTAATATATATTGCGTATTGGTGGCACAGGTATACGTTTTTATACACGATGTAATAGATATGCGTCTTTGTACATATATATTACACGCATTATGAATATAAAATGGTACATAATAGTTGAAGAACGTAATATAATTCGTACATACAAACAATCATTATGACTTCTCTATGCATATAAAATTATTATCAATTTATTACAGGTATTGAAGGAAATCTACTCTGGATTTTGGACACGATTGGGTTATTGTCGATGCAGTCAGGCAGCTTTAGGTCTATTTCACAATACGATAATGAAAGTGACGATGTGAAAGATTTCAGTGTTTAACTGGATTGCCCGTAATCTACATAATCCACCAACAAGATTCACTCGTTTCGGGTTGCCTATATCCACAATAAGTCCGTCTGTAGGGGTTACCCTTACAAAGGTAAAGTGTAGTTGACGACTAACGAAGGCAGATTTCATTAAATCCGGTCGAATATTTGTCCCTGACTTTTCTTAGTAGTCATGAAAAGGACACGGACAAAAGGGGCAATAGGCGTCGTGGCAGATCTAAACGGTTTATCGACATCACTGATTAGCAGTATTTACTCGTGCGTATTTATTCTGACGCCAATTAGGATAGACCGAGGAGTGTTGCTACAGTTGCTTGTCACGTATTATTGGGAAGCTTTCCATTACGATTGCTCGTCTATTAAAGATGTTCGATAAGTCGATATCGATAGTTATCGTTTGGTCCTGCTATTTCGAGGCATCCATGTTTACCAATGTACGCGTGCAGTCCTCTAGGGAATGTCTGTTTAAAACAGTTGCATATTTAAGAACAAGACTACGACAGTCAGTAGCTTGATACACTCATTCGTAAAAGAGCGATAGGTCAAATGTGAGAGATTTAATTGAACATTGCACGGGAGACTATTTACCGCAGTTGTTGGTCGTGAATAGTGGGCTCTGCCCCGCACTATTTCCATTTGCAGCAACACTCTAGACGCACATGTTGATCCATAGCTAATGTCTGGTTCTAGAGGAAAAACGTTCGAAGACGACCGTATTTCCGCCTGAAAAAAAATTCGAGTTCATTGCTAAATTTTGCACTGATTCATCGGTTGCATGCAGAATGTGTTTTTGAATCATACTAGTGGCGTCAATCAACGGGATTGAGGCTTTACTTGAGTGCCGCTTACTGTGCTTGCTTTCAGGCCACACAGCATCCTAAACATATTAAACCGACAGGTAGCAGTTGACCAGCCGTCGATGCAATGGTGCCTACGAAGGAGCGGCGTTCGAAATGCAGTATTCCACCCATTGCGTTGAAAAAGAATAGGCGCTTTTCATTCGCTCAGATATCTGTCAAAATTTTGTCGAAAACCACGACGGATTTATAATCATTCAGGTTACTCTTTACGTTCGTTTTCTTCAAGATTTTCTTTCAGTCCATTTCTTCAAACGAGAAAAATGGAAGTAATTGTGCGATTTGACAATCGCTGGAAACTGAAATGATAAAAAGCTTTTTGATAAAATTGTGTGCGTACAATTCCACAGTGGATAAAAATTCGTGGAACATATCAGTTGACGATGACGCTATGCACGGGATGCCAAAGGATGGGTGTTCTACATAGAATTAAATTTTTTCCGCTTTTTGGCACTGTCCGACAAAACCAAAAACGTTTTCACAAAAAATGTTTGCCATATTAGCGCCTCTAACGCCCTTATAAACACGTGAATGGTTTCACTCAGGACCACTTCGGGACGGAGGTCCATCGCATTGTCGTACAAATAAATCAACATTACTGGTCGGTTCTTTTTACCATTTTAATTCCGACATATCAATTTTTTGGAGTATAAATATATGTACCGCTTAGCTCTTTGAAGTCTATCAGTCCATCAAAAGTGGCCCTCCTTACGTAAAGTTTTATGTCTAGCTTTCACCCTCAAGGTGATATTTTCAACGTGAAATTCAAATTCAGGTTGAGACACATCTATTTAAGCCACAGTTCAGGGAGTACGGCTCAGTATATTAGCGAGACATGCTCAATCAACGCTAAGCAGAACCCGATATTCTTGTTTTGAACCTAAATATAGTTACTCTGTTCGTTATGATTTAAACTGAGGGGTGATGCCGAAGTGCTAGGCAATAATAAACAATCTATCTGTTCGCACCGATTTTGATACAAAGCACGACATTTGCATTGAGTAGGTATTATCAGTATTACCTTACACACATAAACCATGTACCTATGTATTTGAAGAATTGCAAAACATCTTGAACTTATTATATCGTTTTGACGCATCATAGGACACATAGGGGACACATAGGACAAATGAGCAGAATCGCCCGAATTATAGTCATAATGAAATGAATATTACATGTAAGCTTTCCCAGCAGTATCTGCACGGGGTCCGCTGCATCGAAAAGAAACATCGATCGGTCTTCCATAAGTGAACCGTAAGTACGTGCATACGCTTTGATATACTGTGGTTTGTTTTGCATTTACATAGGGCATACGTCAGCGACCGTTTGGACAATGGCCTCGAGCATGGATGCACGGTTCAAGAGCACACATTAAGCTTCCCACTCACGCGCTTTCAGCGATTACAATTTATATATTTTTAAACGTTTACATAAACAACTTTCCTGTCAAACTAGAGGAATTCAACTTTGCAGTGAATAATAAATTATGAATTTTCACTATAAACTGCCATTAGGTATTGTTGAAAGGTTCAGCTAGGTTTATTGTTAAAGGGTTAAACGCGACATGGCGTGTCCTCAAAGTATCAGCGACATAATTGAGCTTACTCCTTGAGTTACGCAAAAAAAGTGTACTTCACGGTTTCTCACGGTTGATGACTGTGGTCGACGGCAGGCCGAAGGAGCAAGCAGCCTTTTAACTGAAGTTGGCCGCAATAAGAATGAACCCAGTAATTCAAGGCCGACGCGTACGACAAGTTTATAGTACGATTTGTTGTTTGCTTTCAGTTTTTTTTTTACTTAGATCGAAGCGA